ATAAGAAAATGTTTTAAATATCCCCATGGCCAGTATAGTAAGTTCAAACCTTTTTAACATCCTTTTATAAGTTTCACCTGTATATAATATGTATAAATGTAACGGAATCTTTAAACGTTATTTTGCCCCACGTTGAACGATCAGATTTGAATCAAACTTTGCACTCTCGTCTAATACACATGATTTAATGCAATAATTTATATATTTTCCCATTATCCTGATCAGGACCTTCAGAATAAGCAGTTTTCCGAATCCTATACCCGGTAGTACGCATTTAAAAAAATTTAAAAAAAATAAAAATAAAAAAGTCTTTTATTCATAGCAGAACCAAAACATAGAAAAAAAATAATAGTTTAAAAAAAACATGCTTTTGTAGATAATCATACTAGAAAGGAGAAAAATTTTTTTATGAATAGTGTGACTTTAAAAATTTTATTGCAGAAAGACTTTGTGTGCTTTTGAAGATATTTCCATTGTGATTCTTCTTTTACCGGTATACTGTATATACTGTCATTAAAATATTTTATTATTATAATATCAATTTTGATAAAAGCCTTATATAACACACATAAAATTAAATTGCATAAAAATATATTGCATAAATATATGATAAAGAATAACAATTTATTTCTGGGTGGTATTTTAAATATTGCAGAACTTGCGATAAGGGTCTAAAATAATCTTACCTTCTAATAACGTATAAAACCTAATCTTCACGCGGATGAAATCGCATGGAACAGCTAGTGATAAATAAAATTATAATGACGTTTCAAATACTGTTTTAACCTCTTATGCAATTAATATCAGCATATAATATTACAGTGTTAGGGCCACGCAGCAGCCTCGGCTGATGCACGAATGGGCAGGCCCGTCCGGGTAAGTACCACGACCTCACAGAAGGCCAGCGTAAAGTGGAAGTATGAAAAATACTTTCGCGTTTCGTCTGGTAAGTGTGGTAGCCGGAGTCCAATTTTCAATAGGTTGTCAAGATCAAAAGATGTACATGGGCGGCGGTATTCACTTACCATCAGGTGAACCGTCTGCTGCTTTTCACATAAAAAAATCAAAGTACTAAAATGAAGTTTTGCTAAAATTTTACTTTAAAATCGGTAAAAATTATACATTCGTGGCGCACCAGCTTGACACACTTCCGACACCCCTCCTTTCGACGCGCTCTCTTTGCTGACAAAGCCCCATTATGTTTCGATTGATGCACCTCACTGGCATTTGAGTGTACCTCGAACAATAAAGAACATCTAGTACAGTTGGAGGGCATTCTTAATAAGGTGACGTTCTATCTACAGCTTTTGTTGTTTTAATCTCCACTGAGGTATTCTAAACACATTATTGCTAGCATTACACTGTGCTCTCCAGCATTAATTGGATGCATTTGACTTTAATGTGTATTGATACGTCTTATTTCCAAGAGCCATCTTTATGACTCGGTTCCTAGACTGTAACCAAGGACAAGAGCCAAAAATGCTCTGATTTTTTTTTCTCCTGGATTTTGCATTATTATATAAATATCAACACCTGTACCACCCTCAAGCTTTCTCCCGAACCCTCCTCGTATATATTCAAAATAAATGAACCATTTCCGTACCTTATACCACTAACTCTGTTGGCTACTCTTGGCTTCACCGTGGAGGGCCAAGCCACGACTACAAAGACTTCGCCATGACAAGTTGGGAACCCGGGCAGAGAGGAACATTTAATATTACACTTCCTTCAAGAGTTGTTACAATTCAACTTTGATGAATCCGTGGCGCAGTTGCCAAGGTATTGGCTACGGCGTCGCGGGTCGTGGGTTCGATTCCCACACGGGAGAACTATTCGTGTGACCCACAGATAGTTGTTTCGCATCTGGGTGTTTATCCGCGTGAAATTTATGTTTGTAAAACGGCCTTACAACATAGGATAATGTTATCCTAAAGTAAGGGCAATATAAAAAAAAAAAACTTTAACACTGAAAATATATTTTTGTCTTAATATGACTTTTTCAGCAAACTTTAAAATTTATTTTTCTTATGGAATCAAGTAAGATGAAAAATATTTCATACTAAGTATAATAAAAATACAATGGAATGGGGGGCCGCGGCCAAGACATAACGATAAAATAGTTCCACAAAAAGACAAGACTCATCAGAAAATCGCAGCTATATATTACCTTTATTACAATATAAACCTTTTAATATGTCATTTCTATTTTATTTAGTACATACTTTTATTAAGTTAAAAATTATTTATGATAGTTGATGAACATTTTTATTAGCAGCGTTTTCTTGAGACTGTCGAAGTAAAGTGTAGTAGCTATAAGCTCCTTTAATGATCTGAAATGGAAGCATCAATTTCTTATTGATTTATCCTTAATTATATTATAAACGCGAATGTTTGTGTGTACGGTTTGTTACTCTTTCACGCAAATACTACTGAATGGATTCTAATAAAACTTTACAATAATTTAGCTTATACATCAGAATAAGACATAGGCTATAATTTACATACATATTTTATGTCTATCTGTCTGAATGTTACGGCTTCAGCCTATTCTACGCAGACGTAGTCGCGGGCAGCGGCTAGTTAAACATAAATGTCAACATGTATAGCTAAGGAGTGGTCCAAACATTCAAATTCCATAGCATCGATATAAAAATTGAACGATATAAAGATGAACATGGACAAGACGAAGATCATGTCTAATGTCCATGTCACGCCTATACCGGTTGTTGTTGGGAGCACTGAGCTCGAAGTTGTTGACGAGTACGTTTACCTAGGACAGTTAGTCCGGCTAGGTAAGTCCAACTTCGACGCAGAGGTCAATATAGCTCAGAGGATTAGCAAGCTGAAGTGGCGATGGGCCGGCCATATAGCTCATAGAACCGATAACCGTTGGGGAAGAAAGGTTCTCGAGTGGCAGCCTCGTACTGGCCATCGCAGTGTAGCAGTCTGAATAAGTACCATGAACTCACAGAAGACCAGCGTGAAGTGGAAGTATTATACTTCTGCATTTCGTCTGTTGAGTGAGGTAGCCGGGGTCCACTTTATTAGAAGGCGGCAACGCATCTGCAACCCTACACGAGTGCTGCAATCAATTTGCGGCGGTTATCACTTAACATGGAGTGAACCGCCAGCTCGTTTGCCACTTTCTCAATTAAAAAAGTATATATATTACAGTAGCGCATACATTTAGAAAGGTTGCAATGGTCAAATCACTGAAAGGCCCAGCAGAAAACACGATGGACCTATTCAATTGGCCCATCAATATTTGAACGTCCTTTTGACGTGACCAGCTCTGTCTCCACCAATAGCTATTGTAGGGCCCAAGCATGACTTCCATACTCTGAAATATGATATAACATATATAATATAATACAAATGATTTAAAAACTTTTCATAATTTTTATCCAAATTAAATTATAAATTTTTCGTAACTACATGGTTGATTTTATAAGGTATGTAAAACGTAGAAATTTAGGTAACACAGCTATGGCTGTTTTCTATAATTTTTCAATTTTTTTTTAACTTATTTTAGCTTCAAAATATAATACTTTATACGGATGTTAAAAGTGAAGTGATTTTAAATTTTGTTGCTTGAATATTTTTTTGTTGTTTTCAATACCATGGACAAATCATAAACTGATCATTGTTTATGGCCAGTGACTAAAAAGAAGAACTAGCAGATAAACTAACTAGCAAGTTAACTTGGTGGCAAAATATTAATTCATTTTAGAGGATAAAATCGAAGATTTATCGGAGGGAATAAGGAAATTTATATTTAAAGGATCAAGTTATTTTGTTCACTATCCATAATTTTGACAGACTTTTCCTATTATACTGCTAAGTTCAATATAAATTAATATTTTATGAGAATGAAATAAAATAACATTTATTATGGGCACGAATATGAAATGTAGTTCTTGTACGATACAAGCTATTTAAAATTCTGAACGAAATTTTTAGCAAAAGTTGGCGTTTACTCGTAGCACCCCCAACCCCCATCCGCCACACCGTTACAAAGGTCCTCGCCGGTACAGAAAGTTGGGGCAAATATCACTATACGGCCAACAACTCTCCCCTGGGAGAAAACGGTCAAATATTTAGGAGTCACTTTCGACTCGCGTATGACATTCACTACGCACATCAATCAAGTCCGAAATAAAGCCGCGTTCGTCTCCAGCCGGCTACACAATTTAACGAATAAGCATAGTAAAATGCCCTTAAGGCACAAACTACTGTTATATAAAGCTTGCGTAAGGCCAATCATGTCCTACGCTTGCATGATCTTCGCACATATAAATCCTACGCGCATTAACAAATTGCAAGTAGTTCAAAGTAAGTTTATCCGCCGCGCAACCGGTGCGCAATGGTATCAGCGCAACGTCGACCTGCACAGCGATTGCAGACTCCCGACGATTCGCGCTCATTTTAAAGATTTGACAAAACGGTTCTTCGATAGAGCCCAGCATAATCCCAACCCTCTGGTTGTAAGCGCAGCAAACTACCAACCGGACACAAACGCGAACGTAAACAAGCGTCGCCCGCGAAACGTTCTCATCGACCCGGTTGACGAAGAGGACTTAGATACGATGGACCCACCGCTGGGGGTCCTGCCGGATAACACTACACCCACAGTTAGTGGCACACAACAATCACACCAGTTTGCCCTCGCCTCCGAGCACGGCCAGACCCACACAACGCGTACTCAAGGTACACCCGCGTTCCGGGGCGGTTCTCACCGCTCCCAGCCACCGATTAGCTAAATGCACAGTCGACGGCCGTCGGGGTCTCGGTCCGAACCGGCGACCTCGACGGCCCTTAGATGACACACCATAGTAGTTAAACGCACGCATGAGCACATGCGCGACCCTACCCATAGCGGAGGGTCCAAACCCGTGGGTTCTGCCGGTTCTGCGTCCGATGAAGCTTTAATAGTCTCGGGACTGAAAGCAAAAACATCAGTTAATACAAGAATACAAGAAAAGTTGGCGTAAGCAAATTCAACTAACCGCATAATAAACGTCGTTACTGTGCCAACAATAAATGAATAGTTGAGCAACGCCGAAAATCAAATATTCCGTAGTCAGAAAGCGTTGCATCGCACTGGTCTCCACCTGAAACTTAATTATTTCACTTAACATGAGCCCGGTGGAATATACACCTAATTCAACCAGCGAGTAATGTTAGTGTTTCCATTTCCTTTAAAAATATTTTGTATGACTAACACTTGACAAATATTTCAGTTAAAAGTAGTTTCCTTTGTTTTTGAAGTTATACTTTTTTGGCGCGCTTAGGATGAAGAAGTTGGTCGCAAAGTTGCCAACTTCAAGATAGTAATTTTTTTTTAAGTTATAAATCCAAACAGAAAATCGATGTTTGAATTTTTGTCAGTGGCAGCTTTGTAATAACTATTTAAGATTAATTTCAATTTTATTTATTTTAGCCTTAGACTCTTTCTCTTCACTATATTCCGTAGTAGCTCGTTAAGTTTTATATAGTGTGATTAAATTATAAAATATGGTATTAGTTTATCAAGTGAAAGATACCTTAACTCAATTTCAGAATAAAGAAATCAAAAGCCTTATTTCACATTTTACATTCCCTACTGAACGTTGTACGGTGCTAAGCATAATATGAATAACGCTGCAAAAACGCAGCCGACTGAATCATCATCAGCAGCTAAATACGTTTTTAAATGAGACTTGCTTAGATACATCTTGCTTGAGCAAGATGTATCTAAACTTGCTTGAGCAAGATGTATCTAAAGAAAGAAGAAGTAGAACAATATGCTGATGGGACTGTAAAAATTATTTATTAGCCAATTCCTATAGATGCATCGTGTTTACTTAGCTGTATTTATTTAGGTTTTACTTAAAGTTTCGTTCATAAGGTATTGAATGAAAGAATTGGCGCAAACACAATCTTACAGTTGAATATTTAAAGTATTTTAATTGTATAAGGCACAATAAGCGCATCTGATATCTAATAACTGCAGCGATATGTTGCGTTCAAAAGCTGAACAGTATTTGAAAGAGATATTATTTTGTTAATGTCTCAAAATTTTTATGAAAACTGTCAATATAATACAAATAGGATCATAAAGGAAGTGTCAATAACAGTTATCTGATAAGCGGTGGCACACAGCATCACGGAGCAAACGAACATGTAGAGAAGCATGATGGGCGACAGGCACGAATCAAACAGTTTTGTGTACCTGAGGAGAATATTTGATGTTAAAGTTCTACAAGTTTAAGTTTTTTGGAACTAATTTTTTTATGTGGTCCTGTCTCTTTATAACCGAGATTTTATATACATAATATTAAAAATATGCAATTTGCTTTACTTACTATTATATACTATACTTACTATTATATATTTACTTACTATTTTACTTTAATTTCTATTTTATTCTATTTTAATTACTATTTTACTTAAATATCTCAAAATGAAATTAGAACTAAGTTACGACTTGCCAAATTTCATACGATTCACTCTCTTATGAGTGGCTTAAAATAACTAATCCTATTCTTGTGTGGATGACTCTGATAAAATAACCAAGTAGTTTATTTAAAAAAAAATGCATTATTGTTATGAGAATTTACGAAAAAAAAAATTGTACTTAATCCTAACTTACTTTATCAATTCCACGTGCCGCTTATAGCAATTCTTCAATCGGTGTTTCGCTATATGATCTGAAACAGGATTGGTTTCTGTTCCAAATATATCTGCACAGTCTGATTTCAGTAGTTCCAGTTCACATTTGAAAAAAACCATGATGACCATGGAGTTTGTGTCGAATGATGTGATCCAACCTCCGCCGTATATGGCAGCGTAGCTTTGAACTATCGACGCGATAACGTGTCCTGAAATCGTATTTTTGTCAAACGGCACCCACGAGCTAACCACTTGTATGTAGGATCCAGTGCCGTTCCTAACCATCCCTCGGTATGTAGATGACGCCACAAACTTGTAAATTGGTTGCGTCATTACTATTACGACCGTTGTGTACATTAGCATCCAATAGAGGTAAGTCATCTTACGACAATATTGGGTGTGTTTGTCAATGACCGAATTTTTGATGTCGTCAGTGCTGCCTCGTTGCTTTAAGTCCGCTTTATTGACGTATTTTATAATCGCTTTCCAATGCTTCTGCCAGAACAAAAATGTCGTGACCTTTACAACGCTCACTGTAGCAAGCATCGTAATCTTTAAGTTGTTCAGGAGTAAATTCATGTCGAACTTTATGAACCATATATCAACGTACTCTGTTGCTGTGAAAATGATCACTGACAGGTGCATGAACAAGTAAAAGGTACGCATCTTTCTACTACGAGGGAGTAAGAGGCCCCAAAATTTTAACGCTTTCACGTTGGGACCCAATAATGGTTGTTCCTCAGATTCAAGCTTTCGAAGCAAGCTCTTTAACATTTTGATAGACATTGATCTATGTGAATGTACACACGCTGTATATATAGGGACACAGGGAAAATACACAACATGACAAAAAAGGTATGCATTAGTGATGTAACTGCACGAAATTTTAACGTTTTAATTAGACGAAATGTCGCTCTTAATTTTACGTAAAGTAAATGAGAAAAAGTAAAATCACAGATAGGATGTAAATTAGGTTTATTAGTCAAGTGTTTTACGATTTCGTATTATTCTACAATAGCTCTTAAAGCCTTTCTAAGGTCGACATTTTACTTAAATTTATGAAGTCTGCAGTGATTGTCTAAGTTTTATGGTACAATACGTTTATTTAAAATAAATTTAAGTAATGTCTTACTATAGATACAAACGATTTTCTTATAATTGAGTTGAGTTACGACGAGTACAGTATTGAGTTGAGTTACGACAGTTGCAATGCAATTATTTCTTTATTAGCTTTTTCCAAGTATTTATGATTTTATAGCTTTTATTCAAAATGTGTCGGTGAATATTCAGCAATAGATTAGTATTATTATTCATAATTAATATAGAAAAATGATTTCAAAATAGCAAGTTCACATCTTCAAAATCTAAAAAAATATTTTTTTTGCAATAAGCCATAATTTTTGCGATCCTTACACTACTTATGAGAAAAATATGCTTTAACCCATTATAAATGCTTTAATATTTCACTAAAATCCCTGAGGGCAATCACAAGGCAGCTGCGAACTCTCATACAGTAAAATCAATATTTGATCGGAATTTTTTTTATTTTGACTCATAGCTCTTAAGTATTTTTTTTATCGTAATTGGAGTAATTCGGAACGCTATCGTTAAATATTGTAATATTGTAAATAAAATAAAATGGTTATTTGTTTTATTTGTAATTAAAAAATCTCATATGTACATCCCTACATATGTTTGTTATACAATTTATGATACGAATACCTCCTTGTTATTCTAATTACTAAACAAAATATCAAAGGTTCTATTTCAAATCACAGAGCACTTTTTGACGAGAGATTATGAGAACTTTGAGAAGATTTCAATGTTCTGTATGTATTTAGTTGGTAAGCCTTAATAAATAAAATAAAAAATAAAACTTTTTGACATAACTGCAAGACTTCTTTTCGTACGTATACATTATGTGCATACATTATTAGTTTTTGTTAAAAAATATGTTAATTGAGTTTTAGTATACAACAGTAAAAATAACACATTTTTGAATTCGTAAAAAGTAAAGTAAAGTAACAGCCTATACATGTCCCACTGCTGGGCAAAGGCCTCCTCTACACAGAGGGTATCATGGCATAGTCCACCACGCGGCCCCACTGCGGATTGGCGGACTTCACATATCTTCGAAATTTTTTTTTTTTTTGTAATTATTTCGAAAATATTTAGGTTTCCTCACGATGTTTTCCTTCACCGCGGAGCACGTGATAAGACAGCACTTAAAGTTAAAAACTTCATTGGTGCCGGCACCGGGGATCGAACTCAGGTTGCTCGAGTATTTTGAATTAAAGGCGAGCGCCCGGACACTGAGCTATCACGGCTCCATTCGTAAATTTCATTTGAAATAACGTAAATTAAAAATAATAAAAATATAAGTGCAAACCAAACAAAATTAACATGTTGATAAAATTTGTGCCGATTAGTATTTAATCTCTTTTGTCTTAGTTTGTCTCTACCTCAAAGGTAGTCTGTATTTGTTGAAGCTTTACGTAATAAAAATCAATGCCTGAAATATTATTAATAACAGCAATATGTACTTATGCTTCCTCGGCGTGAAAATTGATTTAATTACTAAATTAAATAATTGTAAATTCGTAGACAATTCCAGATTCAAACAGAATATCAGTGTTACATTTCTTTAAAATTGCTCTGCGTGAATTTTATATACATTTAATTTCTATGGAGAATATTTATCACGTGGTTATATAATATACATTGTTTTTATCCTTTTGCAGAAATGAATATGTCTTTACTGAAGAAGGAAAAAACATAGTATATTTCATATGTATATCGAATGCCAAAACTACGAAGTTATAAAATATGGTACCTTGGTCACCATGAAAGTTTTAACAAAATCATAAAACCGGTCAAGTGCGAGTCGGACTCGCGCACAAAGTGCGCACCATTTTCTTTAAACCTTAAATATTTATTAATTGGGAAATATAATAAAAATATTTAAGTGAGGTTTCGAAATATTTTTTAATTTGTTTTTCAGTATTCGTTGTTATAGCGGCAACAGAAATACATCATGTGTCATCTGTGTCAAAATTTCAACTGTCTAACTATCATGGTTCATGAGATCTACATTGGTTACAGACGGACAGACAGACAGACAGCGAGGTCTTTGTAATAGAGTTCCCGTTTTACCCTTTGGGTACGGAGCCCTAATAAAACGGCTCAGTGTAGAAAATTGCCCATAGTTTTACCGTTGTCCAAAGTTGTCTCCGTTCCTCCCTATACTTCGCATTTGATGGAAGAAAGCAGTACGGCCAGTCTTCCTTTAGGGGCTTTCCGTTTTCGAACGCACTCACCGCATCTTCCGGGCTCTTAAAGCGAATACATCGAAGTTTATTTTTGTTAAAAATCCTTTTTATTTCTACGACACCCGTACAAATTTTAATGGGCGGCGGTCATCACTTAATATCACGTGAACCGCCAGGTCGTTCCATCCAATGCACAAGATGTGAGGCAGGGATTTTATTGCAATAAATTTGATATTTATTTGGTTGCTACTGATTATTCCGTTTTTAAATAATTTTAATATTTTTTCTACGCACTCTCGCGTATTACTTATCAAATGGCTCATAAATAAAAGTGGAATGCATTTGACATAGTGCCAGTAGCACAGCAATCCATCATTAATCCATACTCAGTCTCACGTTATTGTTTAATATTTTAGTAACTTTGATACTTAGAAATCTCGTGTTATATATTTCTTTATTATTTGTTAAAAACATTGCCCTTACTTTTCGATAATATTATCTAGTGTTGTAAGGACGTTTCTCACCCATAATGACAATTTCATCCTCAGAATTCCCTACATAACAATTACCTATTTTCAAGCGACTTTTAAGAAACATTTTATGCCTCCTTAATAATTATTCCTGTGTTGTCCTTATATCCTCGATGTTATAACGTGTAACTTATATCAAATATTATCTGTTTGCAGTGTATTTAATAATTATTAATATGTATTTATATTTTGACTTATAAGTTTTACAATGCACTAACTATTTCATTTACTAGCGGAAGAAAACTTCCTAGATGAGAAACAACTATCTGTGTGTCACACACGAATAGTTGTCCCGTGTGGGAACCGAACCCACGAACCCCGACGTCGAAGCCAACACCTTGGCATCTGCGCCACGGAGTCATTAATGCAACTCGTAAAGTGTTACACATATTTATTATTTTAGTAACTGGAGTTATTGGGAATAATTATATATATATGTACACTTATTTTCACAGTTATTTTAATTACCGTGGTAAGGCTTCGCAAAAGTATGCACTGTTACACGAATGGACAGATCTGTTCGGGTAATTACCACGACCTCACAGAAGACCGGCGTACAGAAGAAGTGTTACACTTATGCATTGCGTCTGGTGAGTAAGGTAGCCGGAGCCCACTTTATTTAAAGGTACCAACGCATTTGCAACCCTATGGGTGTTGCAAATGTCCACGAGTGGCGGTTATTACTTTACATCAGGTGAACCGCCAGCTCATTTGCCACTTTTTCACATAAAAAAAGTTATAAATTAATATAGTATTATTGTTAATGTAAGGATTATTTTGACAGGGTGTATGTTGACAGGGTAATTCGAAGTTGACAACTCCCGTGCCCGCTAATGTATTTCGAAAGCAAAGCTTCAACTTAAGGGGAACAGTTTCACGCAGGGCACATCTCTACGAGTAAGTTATTTCTTGTTCGTGTATCTCACGTATTGACATTGTCTTCTCGCTTAAGAAAGTTAGTCACAAGTTTGCTTTTGGTTTAACAATTTATGAAGCTAGTATTAATACGGAAAATATAAGAAGTAAGGTAACACAGATTGAAGCTACGAATGAAATGTGCATGAATTAAAGGCAAGAAGCAAAATTGAATGGTAGAGAATATAAAGACTATAGGATTTATTATTCGCATAGAAATCCAATAAAGATGCAAGAGAAAAAAAAATAACTTAAGACGCTTGTACTGAGCATAATAGTTTATAATATAAGCCATTTAGGATAAGCCAGAACAGAATTGAAAGTATTGTCCGAACCGGATAAAAAATTTACACCATAGTACAAAACGGAAGATTGACTAAAACGTATTTTGACTTCAATAAAAGAAACAAGATAGTTTGAGATAGTTGGTCTAATTCTCTTACTATTGCCATTACAATTAGCCTATATAGCGTCTAGCGATCTAGCGCCCTGTGACTCCTCCTGTGTGAAGCCTCCCAAGAATTTGACAAAAGGTAAATTTCGAGGTTATCGCTTTACAAGCCCTGAAGATGCGGTGAGGGCGTTCGAAAATGCCCTAGAAGAGGCTAAGGAAGAATGGACTAATTTTCTCGGTGCTTCCTTTGAACAACAATAAATGTATTGGAAACTTCTTATATCGAGCCGTTTTATGTGTAATAATAACTAATATAACTTTTAGTGTGACCGTAACTTATCATATCTCTTCTGGTTTTTGCATTGTAAATATGTCTTTTCTGATATAATCATTTATTTTATACTTATATATACTTTAAAATTTATATTTTATAACCACTATGTGCTGTTACATTTAATAATAAATGTCATTAAGTAACAGATTGTGGCAATATAAGGCATAAACCTCACTTTAGACATCTTTGTTTATTTATTTATCTAGTTCATATCACGTTTACAC